AAGGCTTCATAGACAAAAATATATTATCTTAAACAACTTTGTGTTTTTTCTAAAAAAAAATGCAGAAAATCAATTTTTTATGTATGGTGAGTTGAAATCAGAAAGAAAAATTAATTTTAGACACCCAATTTAAAAATTATCGTAATATTTTTATAATAAATTTAATTCGTTCAAGTTGCGCTTATTTCTCTTATTAATCGGAACTTACGCTTCGTAAGGGCAATGTATATTGTTAAAGTTTGGGCTTGCCTGAAGTTCGTGCGCTTTTTATCCGCTTCTCGCGAGGAATCGCATGAACCCAACTAAGTTGTGATAGTTGCGTGCTCTAATGTAACCATAAAAAAAATTTTCTCAAGCCGCGAAACGCGTCGTTTCCGCCGTGCGATACACGACACGTCCGTTCTCGGACTCGTCGTGGACGTAGCGCGTGGTAGTTTCTGCGATTTTCTCGCGGAGTTTCCATCATCGCTCCCTCTCTCTCTCTCTCTCTCTCTCCCTTTCTGTTCTCCACTGCACGCAGTGGTCACATTTTTCCAACAACGAGCGCTAAAGTTTTTATCTCGTCGGGAGATGATGTACGGAATTGCGAAGCCCCTCTTTTCACTCCGCGCGCGCGCGCGCGCGCGCGCCGCTCTTTCTACCCCTCGCAACTATTCCCTTTTTCTACCACCCCGCGTCAACCGGTCGGTTTCGCGTTCCGGACAGAGAGAAAGACGGGAGCGCGAGAACGCGAATGAAAAAAAACGAAAAGGAGAGAATTCGTTCTCTCCGCGAGTACGTGTTGCGAGATAAAAGTTTATTACCGCGGCCTAGCAAATATAAACCGCCGCTCGCCGATGTGCTGCCGTGTATGCATGACGATTATTGTGTGCCCTTCGTTTTTCTCCCTTCTCCTCTTGATTCATCTTTTTTAATTCTCACCATTCTTTTTTGTTTCTCGTAAAATCACTTACAACGAATGCACGAAAAATGGCAAAAACGGAGATAGAATGGGGGATATGCTCTCATATGGGACATCAACTGTTATCTACGAGAAATAACGGTTTTCTGGACGTTTGTTGCGTTGATGATATGCTTTAGATTGAGCCAATACAAGCAGATATTCTTGCGTGTGTGTCACCGACCGTACATAAATACAACAAAGAAAAGAGTTCCGTATAAAATTTTCACTATAAACGTGGACATTGACCTAGATTCCGGTCTAGGAAATTGTTATTTATATATCGAATTTAGAAAAGCATAATTATATAAAGCCACACAGAAAAAAAAACGTTCTACATTTTACAATTACAATATTTTTATCAGTTATCATAAGAAATAAACTTTACCGGAACCTTTTGAAACTAGCTTTATCAAATAGTAAACTAGATTTATCAAATAGTTAAAAGTAACAAAATAATGTTTTGTTATAAGATAATGAAATGCTCAGCATGTAGCTCGCACTATTAAAATAATAAAGTAATAATTTCGAAGCTTTGAGATTAAATAATCGAAAGTAACTTATATATTTAACGTTTAGAATTGCATTCGACATTCTTTCATGTAATAATGCGAATTAATATTTTTACATTAACCTTTAAACAGTTTTAAAACCGTTAAATAGTTTTCTATGAAAACAGGTTACATTACGCCCGATGCTTGTAATATTTTACTGTTCATAATGTGATAAGTTATCAGAAGAGATGCGTTCTCTCTATAATTCTACTCTGCGCGTTTCCTCTTTTCATATTTCCTGCGCTTAGTTATCTTTCAGAGAGAACTTCCACATTGCCGCAATTCATCTCGCCATAAAAAATTCCAGATCCAGCATATAGTCATTCGATGTGAAGGCTCCGCTCGCGTTTTGTCGCTTGTCTGCCGAGATCGAGAATATCACCGGCACGATCACATAACTCGACAGATCACAGAAATTCGCCCTGTTTTACACACAATGACGTTTGACTCGCTTGGATCAACTCGTTCATACGGCGTTCATACGGCGGAATCAGATTTTGTAAGCGCGCCGTCAAATCCGCCGAGCGAAAATTCTCACCGGTGAATTAAAGCGCGAAGAAAATAACGGGGCACGATCTCTCAATTTTCTCGGCACAGGCAGATGTAAAAAGTTTATTGCTGGTGACTAGGGAAATGCGAAAGCGTGTTACCTTATGTCGGAGAAAAAGAAACCGGTGAAATTCTTCCGTACACTTGCAATTAAGCAGCATGACTCAATTACGTCGTATAAATTTTCGTAGATTTTCATCGCACAATTGAATTTGAGAGAAAGAATATTGACACGACAAAGATCGCAACGATATAATAAATGTAACTGATGAGATAATTTATGTTTCAAATGATATCTGAAGTAAATAAAATAAAAATATAAAATAAAAACAAAACTACTTATAATAAACGATTACAATATGTCAAAGATAATTACATTACTATATAAACATTTTTAATTAAACGTACGTTTAATCCTAAATATAACATAATTTGCGCAAATTATATTGGTAATGCAATCTATCTTCACTCTGTGTGCTCGAGTAATTCGACTCGCATTTCGATATTATTTCGAACATATGATATATTCCACAATCATGCATAATCCACGGATTTATTATTAAAATTACTTTTTCTATTGCATCACTTTCAGCTCGACTACTTACGCAATTGTTTTACCGTAGCAATTAATATCATAACCGGTGTTTTATATGCTACAAATGCAAATCGCTCGAATGCTGAGAACCTTGACAGAGATCTGGTATTGAGAACCTGTATGGTCAGCATATGGATAGAAAATATTTTATATCACGCTGCATTTATATATCCTACTAGACGCGGTTACGTCGTTTGCATGATATTTCGAAGCTGTAAGTTACGACGACGTTTTTACATTTTAAATGTGACGTAACGAAATGTTAGGTGAAAAGCAATCTGATAAAAGATAGAGGGCGATTCAAAATTGAAATTCATCCATAATATAAATGACAATAATAAGATTTTTTTGTCAAAGTTGAAGAAAGATCCTCTCTTAATAGAAAATGTTAAAGCAATGATGTTACAAACTGTTTGAAAAACATATTCAATTAGGCGTCAATATTGTGAGAGGAAATAATTTAGAAAATTCTGGCTGAGTAAAGGAGAATCGATTATGGATTATTGAATAAATTTCGCTAAATGCAAACTTTAGATTTTAGACACACACATATCGGTCAGCGTGCCCATATTTGCGGTAATGTGTCGAGCAATATGAACGAGTGCCTAGCGTGCAATATAAATGACTATTTAGCATGCGATGTTTCTGTCACGTTCGCTGTTGCCTGGCCGCGATGCACAACTTCGGCATACACGATACGGTATTTATCAACCGCCTTATCAGTGGTAAACCGGCCACACTTCCCGTATCCACTCATAGACAAGGACGTGCACAGTTACGCCAGCCGAAAACTGGAGCAAAACGCGTTACCGATCTCTCTTTCTCTCTGTCAGATTGTTATAAAGTAATTGGAGTCGCATTCGTTAAACACCGATCAACACGGCGCTGTTGACACGCAAGGTAGTTTCGTTGTACATTATAGAAGATGCTTTCAAACTTCACCAATCAAAGTTTCATCCATGGATGCCTAAACCAACTTAAAATCGATATTTCAATGATATAAAAATTTAAGCTTTACAAAGAGATTTAAATTTTTTTAACATTAATCTATTCCTAATGGCTTTTGATCCTTTTATTTAAATTTAATATTAAAAAGAATCCCTATATTAAAATAATTGTAATTTAATCGTAATCATTCATCCATGAATACCTAAATCAATTCAAAATCAATGTTTCAATGATAAAAATTTAAGCTACAAAGAGATTTAAATTTTTTAATCTACTCCTAATAGCTTTTAATCTCTTTTTTTAAATTTAATATAAAAAAATTCCTATATGAAAATAATAATAAGTGTAATTTAGCATAATCTGATTGAGATGATATATTTTATAACATAATTAATATTAATTCTCATTAGAAGACTAATCTAAAAATAATTTATCTTAATTATATAATTTGTTGTAACACGCATTAATTTATTTTAATGGATAACATGATATGATTCCATAGATAATGTTCCGTTGATTTGTGAATTAAAATGAATCTTAATATGCAAATTGGTGTCGCAAGTTAATCTTAATTCACGATTCTTACTCGATTATATATTATATTACGATGACTTCAAGGTTGCAAGAAATAGCCTACATCAGATAGCCATTTCTGATACAAACGACAATGTTAGAGAACCCTCCACCATCCAATCTGTCTCGTTAAATTGAGTTCTCCCGCCTGCCTCTTTCCCCCCCCCAACCTGTTCGACATGATCGACACCCTTTCCCCGTCTATGATCTCGTGGCACGACGGTACAGCATCGCCCGTAACGGAGCATCTAATCTCATCATCGACGCCGGGACGGATAAACGTCAATACGTGATTCGACATGGAGAACGACGAACACGCGTTGCCAAAAGCTAACTGGTCCCACGGTAATCTTGCAAAGTGCAAGGATACTCGAGGAATCCGGAACTGCGTTCGAGAACATCTCTTCGTAAAGAATCTTGCTTTCCGAGGCATTCGGACATTTATAATTTAATCGGACATCAACGTTCTCCTTTAATTAATGTTGACTTCCTCAACTTTTTAAGAATCAGACAAAAACCATTAAAATAAAAATTATGTAATTCTCACCATTTAAATTTTATGATAATGTACAAATTATTAATTTATACATATTTTTTTTTTAACAAAGAAGAAAAAATATGTAAATCGTTTCATTGACTGAGGTTTCGATAGCCCCATATATATTATCGCATATTTCTATTTCTATTTATAAAAATTTGAGAGAGAAAAACTTTTACTAAATTTATAATATTCACAACGTGAATGTCCTGTTCTGTTCGTAGTCAGTTTCGAGACGGGAAATTCTTTAAGGCGATATTCTCGACATCGCTTTCTCCTTAGGAAAGGTACTAGTGGACTTAC